TGCAAATGGTAAGTGAACTTGAGTTGGTCAAAATAAATACTGTAAATTAATTTTAAAAATAACGTTTTGAAGTAAAAAATAAAATAAAATGTGTTGTGCTAATCTTATTTTTATAATAAAAAATGAAAAAAAAGAAGACTTTTTTATCAATTTATTTTCAAAATTAGAAAAAGAGGAAACTTGTTTTAATCTAGATATAGTTTAAAATATTTATAGTATAAATTTATTATATTAAATTTAAAATTTAAACTAATGATATTTTTTGAAATATTTTTAAAGCGTTTAATTGACATACATAGACAGTATAAAATACTGTCATCTAATAGAAATATATTTATCTGCCATATTATATGATTAATTTAAAATTTATAATCTAATATAATAGAATAAATAAGAGTGATTGATTGATAATTTAAAATAATTTTACACTATCAATACATACCAATCCATACCAGTTAAATTCATTTTTAAATCAATTAGATGTATATATACAAAAAGAACAGCAGAATGTTCGTGCTCAAACCTAATTCGCTTTATTTTATATTATTTATGTATATATTTATATAACATGAGGATTTATTGATTACAATATGATTATTTTTGTGAGTGTAAAAAAAGTATGGGTTTGATTGTCATTTTGTACACATTAAATACACATAGCTTTCCATTATTTTAGAAATGTTCTGCAGGCACAATTTTTAATACGTGATACGTATAAATTTACTAGTTAAATTTTTTACTGTTGATTTTTTTCAATTTTGTTAATATTATTTCTTATGGTTTCGGATTAGTTTTTAATTTTGATATTATATTAGCTAGTAGTTTCATTTTCAGAAATTGTTAAGAGAATATAGTATTTACATATTTTATTAGATTTTAGTTTAGATGTTATTTTCATTTGCTATAGAAATTGTTAATATAATATTTGAAAGAATATTACGGAAGTACTTGATGCATTTATTTATTTTTTGTGAAAACAATGCATTTATTTTCTATTATAAATTACTTTGCTGGGTTTTTTAAAACAAATTTTATCTGAATTGATATATAATATACTAATTTTTTATTATCAAAATATGATGTACTAATTGGATACGCCTTATAATAAAATTATTTTAACAATTATTTTAGGACATAAATCATATATATCCTCTTATTTAGCACTCTTTGTCGGTAAAACATAAAAAGATGATATTTTATTTTATTTTATTTTTTAACTTTTTCACAAGTAATTTTTATATAATTATACTTAGCATTTATTTTTTTGGTTAAAGAATAATACTTATTTATTTTTATACTTTTCTATATATAGAAATTTGCTTTTTATATAAATTATTATAATAATAATATAGTGATACTTGAATAATTTATTTTATAAAATAGTAAATGTGTTTTTTCATTGGACTTGTACAATGTACCAATTGAATACAATGAATAAACATATTTTTTTTTACCATGGATAATTATGAGTACTCAATTAAATTATAACCACTTAATATTTTTAAAATTTTTTTATTATTTTTTTTACTGTTAAGTTAGTTCATTTAATAGTTGTGTTAAGGCATTTGATTGTAATCATGCCACAATAAAAACCACTAATAAATGTCTTTTACGTCATTTACTAAGGATTGCTAAATTGAACACCCTTAAATTTAGAGATGGCAAAATAGATTGGACTCAATGTGTTTGCCCGTTAAGCTTGTGATTTTTGGTGGACACAGTCAAGGTTTTTGGTCTGCACCATCTATTCTTCACAGCCCTACTTTATTTCAATTTTTTATAGACTACAATTAGCGCGAACATTAGTGTGACAAACATGACTTTTTGCCACTTTTAAGTTTTATGGATGTATGACCTGTTTCGTCCAACCCTCTTTCTTGCGGGGCGAGCCATGGTTTTTGGCCCGCCTCCTTTACCATATTGCCTTTCTTTTAAGTTTTTGTGGGTGTTTCCTAAACAGAGCAAATATGTTTGTTTGTCCTACTTAAATATCTTATATGAGAACAATTTTAGAAAAATATATCTATTTATTAGTTATTATTTTTGTTAAAGTCTAAAAGTTTAAAAAGTTTTAGTTACTTCTTATACAATATGAAGTGTTATACACAAAACTTAATTTTGCTTTCTCTCATTGTCTTCTATGTATGAATTAATCTAGTTCTAACAAGTAGTATATAAAGCCTTAAGCTCTTAGGTTTCCAAAAAATGATCAAGATTTTGTGTCCATTCAACTTGTTTATCGGGTGAATTTGGAAAGTCATTTAGAGAATCTTGGAAACATTTAAAGTGGAATGCTTTCAATTCTTGACTCAGACTCAGACAATATGCTTCTGTTGGCAACAACAAATGATGAATTATAAATGACTTATATTTGAACACAAGTAATTCAAATCACATGATAAGTCATCAAGAATAACTAGATATTTTTGATAATTCATGAAAGACAAAAAAAAGTTTTGTTGATAACAAAACCATTCCATCAAAGGGAGTTCGCGATGTTTTGATCAAAGGAAGACTAGAAGACCAAAAAGTTATCACTTTTATGTTGTATGTTCCTAGCATGAAGATTAATGTTTTGAGCAAGGGTCAATTACTTGAAAAGTGGTTTACCACGCACCTCGCCAATAATCACATAAAGGTCTTTTATGCATATAAAAAACTATTTCAAAAGCCCCTCTTTCTCAAAGTAGAACTTTTCAGGCCATACCAACGCAAGAGATTTCCATTGTCTTGCTTTCAAGGTTCTTGAAGATGGTGATTGGCTATGACACATCGGGTATAGGCACCTTAATTTTAAGAGTCTTTGTACCTTAAAGTCAAGGGTAATGATACATGTTTTTTCTAGGATCAAATTGTCTATATATGTGTGCATAAATTTCTTGATAGGCAAGCAACCAAATAAATATTCATGTCTCAAAGTCCAATAAGAGATCAAGGTAAAATTGATGTGGTGCATACTGATTCTTGTGGTCCCTTTGACACCATGTTATTAGGAGGAAACTTTGATTCCTTTGTGGATGAGTTATGTAGAATTATGTGGGTTTATTTGATAAAAATGAAAGGTGGGCTGCTCTAAGATCCCAAGAAGTTTAAGCAGAAAAACAAGCTAAAAGGAAAATCAAGCTTCTTTGGAATGATGAAGGTTGTGAATACACTTCAAGATAAATTGAAACTTTTGTTGAAGATATGGAAATTTATCATGTGATCACAATGCCATACACCCCTCAACACAATGGTCTTATTGAGAGGAAGAACATGACTAGATGCATGTTGAGTGAAGGGAATCATCCACAAGATTGTTGGGGTGAAGTTATCACAATTTCTTGTTATGTTCTAAACTTGATTCTAACCAAGAGGTTAGATATGGTTTCAGAGGAAATTTGGTCAGGTCAGACTCCATATGTCAAGTGCTTAAGAATATTTGACTTTTTATGCTTCAAACATATCATGGCAAAGAAGGAAGAATCTTGAAGATAATAGTGAAGTGATAATTCTTGTAGGAAACAAAACTACATGTTCATACAAGTTGTACAATCAGGTGATGTGAAGGATTGTTGTGAGTAAAGACATTATAATCAATGAAGAAGAATGTTGAATCATCTTTAAGTGTGCTATTTGTTTTCCATGATGACTAGAGTGAGCCTTATATACTTCAAAGAGGTGACACATAAGTAGTGAAAGCAAGAAGATTCCATATGAATAAATTCATAAAGAGAGGGTCACAAGAATATTATGTCATTCATGACTAGACAATCACACCAGATAGAAACCTGGTGCATCTAACCTTATTTTTTATGATGAGCCTCTCAGATATACAAAAGAAGCTAAATTATCGACGTGGCTTACTGTTATGGAAGAATAAGTTAAGGCAATAAAGCAGAAAAAACATGGAATCTAGTCTCCTTACCAACACAGAGGATGAATATTGCAGTTAAATGAGTCTACAAAATGAAACACCTCTCATATGGTTCCATTTCCAAACATAAGGAAATGCTTGTTGCAAATGGATTCTTACAAAATATTGGTCTTAACTTCACATATATTTATTCACCGGTTACACGAATTGGGATAGTCATATTAGAGGTGGTGCTTGATAACTTCTTGCAATGGAATCTTGTTCAATCGGATGTCAAGTCTAAATTTCTCAATGGTTTCTTAAGGAGGAAGTTTAGGTTGAACAACCTTATGTTTATTTTGAAAAGTGGAGGAGATAAGGTCTTGAAGAATAATTAAGCTATATGTGGTTTGAAACAAGCTTCAAGAGCCTAGAACATGAGGATTAATGAGTTTCTAAATTTTATTGGCTATTCAAAGTGTATAGTTGAACATGGAATATAGGTGAAAGACTTGAATTTTAAAAATCTCTGCATAGTGTGCCCATATGTCAATAATTTACTCATCACAAGAAACAATCACAATTAGATTAAGAATCTCAAATTCAGCATAAGCAATGAATTTCATATGACTGACTTATGAGGCCTAATTAAGTTACTTCCTAAACCTTTAATTTTCTACAAGCATGAAAGACTTGGTAATTCACCAGAGTAAGTACATTAGTGATATTCTAAAGATATTTAATATCTTGAAGTGAAATCCAACCAATACTCATATGAAAAGAAAAACAAAATTAAGCATAGATGAAAATAGAAAGATTGCTAATAGCACTTTATGCAAGCAAATGGTTGACTGACTAAGGTATGCTTAAAATCACATACCCAATATATGTCACAATGTAGGTGTGATGATCTGATTTATGCAAGAACCTAAACTATTACATAGGTAAGCACTAAAGAGAATCATGAGATATCTTAAAGTTACAACATTAAACCTAAAAAATGGCTATATATACGTGTATTATATAAAATGTTACCAATTATTATTTTTACAGTCTAATCTATTTGGCTTGAAATTTGGAATAGGTAGCGATACTTCAACATCAACAAGGTCATAACATGGAAAATCCTAACTATCATTTGTCCTCTAAAATTTTATGCAGAGTTATGGGTGTTGAGTTAAAGGTATTGTCAGCTTTTATAAAACTATTGACTTAATTAACTAAAAATGCGCAATTCATATTCTAAAAAGTGTATAATTATTTTTGTATTGTAGGCAAAAGTTGACACAGATGAAATTTTTGCTCTAGTTACATTATTCCCATTGCCAGAGGTTAGCTATTCTTTTGGTTCTCAAATATATATTTTTTTCTTTTATATAATTCTGGTTATTCTTTTGGTTGATTGCAGCAACAAGAAATTATCTTAGAGGATAATCATGCAATTCAGAGTCCCAGTGAATTGTACTCTTTCAGTAAGATTCTCACTTCAGCAGAAATAAGTACACTCGATGGACTTTATATTCCAAAGGAGCATGCTGAGAGATGTTTCCCCCCACTGGTTTGTTGATATGCTTGTGTTTAACACTTCATCAAGAATTTGTTGTTTATTTATTGTATGAATTTGTTCTCTGTCATGTCTTTGATATAGGACATGACCCATGAACCACCCATGCATGATCTAGTGGCAAAGGACTTGCATGGAAATGAGTGGAATTTTCGACATATTTATCGCAGTAAGTTCAATTTATTTTATAGAAGAAATGGATTTTTTTCTTATTTATGAGTTATTAACTGTTAACATGAAATGCAGATTATGAGAAAGAACACATGCTTACTAATGGTTGGAGCACATTCGTAAACTCAAAAAATCTTGCTCCCGGAGATTCATGCATTTTTGTCAAGTTCTCTTTTCATCTCCATTCTCCATGTTTACTTTCTTAATATTCCATGAGCAATAATTCATACAATACTTTTGTTACTGTAGGGGTGAGAATGGTGAATTTGGTATTGGAATTCGTCGAGATATGAAACAACATGGCTGCACAACATTGTCTCGACAGTCTAGTCAAAACATGCAACTTACACCATTGGTCGCTGCTCATCATGCTGTTTCCATGGGAACTTTGTTCCATGTCCAGTACTACCCTTGGTGAGTAATTATAAACGATGTTGTCATTTAAAAATGAAAATATTCAATGATGATATACATCTTTTGTAGGATTATTCCTTTTGAATTTATGATTCCTCTGAAAACTTATCTTGAGTCCATGGAAAAAGATCACTCAATTGGAACAAGGGTGCACATGTTGTCTCAAGTTGAAGGATGTGCAAAAAGGTGATTATAATGTTTATTTATTTTATGAAAAGTTTGGGAATACACTTTTTATGATACTCATAGCATTTTTTATTTTATTTTAAAATATTTTTTTGAGTATTTAGATATGGTACAATAGTGGGTAATGAAGATATTGATCCCATTAACTGGCCTGCTTCTGATTGGAGATCTCTTAAGGTAAAATCAAATATCTTACTATATCTTTTATAATTAGCAACTTTGAGTTTTAATTAATACATTTTTTATTTTATTTTACTGATTTAAATAGTTTTTCTTACCTTTCCTCTTAGGTTCAATGGGATTCTATTCCAAATACTTTTACACATCTTGAAAGGGTTTGTCCTTGGTGGGTTGAGCCCTTGGAATCTTCCAAGATTAAGGGAATCCCTATTCTTCCTTTACCTAAAAAAATAGATGAATATGAGGGTTAGTTCTTATTCATTCATTTCAAATTTTATTTTAATTTATTTTATTTTGTTAATAATTATTGAAGTAGTTTAATTCTCTTACTATTATCAGATACATTTGGAAGTTCATCCAAACCTGAATATCACAAAGTGGACATGGACTTGCAAGGTCAAGATTACAATATCAGAAAGCATAAAAAATCAAAATTTCTCAATTTTGCTTTGCTTATATTTTTTTGCTTTTTAATATTTGTAATTTTTTTCCTTCGTTCTCTTATGTGATTTTTATTTATAAGACAAATTAAACCTAAATATTATGTCAACTTTTTAGTTACTTTTCTAAAGTAACAATTAAACTGAATAAAAAAGTTGAATGTATTGAGTGATGAATATCTTATATTTTATTTAAAAGTATCATGTAACTATTTACCACCATGTTTTCTATGATTTAAAAAACATTATGAAAATTTAATTCATTTTTAGTAATTATCATCCTAAACTAGTTTGCGTCGAAACATCGAAGGTAAGGCAAATATGCTGGTGTGTAATATTTGAAAAATAAGTTATACAAACACAAATTGAACATTATGTTGAGATTCAAGCAAAATATTTTCGTGGGAAAATAACAAGGTTACAGGTCTTAGATGTTTTAGATGTTTTGTTTGTTCTTTGTGGAACAAGATTTATAGTTAGCGATGTTTATAACTATCGCGTTAACTTCAAAATCAAGAAAATGTTAGCAATAATTGTAACACCTTAAATTCTAAAATATATTTTAAATAGATTTACATGATAATTTAAGTTGTCATCAACAACAACCCTTCAGAAATATATCATATCATTTGAAACTACACACTGAAAAACATTTTATAGCAAATTCATAATTAAAGTGATAAACTTTAAAATAACAAAATCAACATTAACATAAAACATAATAAACTTTTGTCCCTGATGCTACACAATCAGAGCGCTAAAAACCATTATTGTATGATAAAACAATAAATAAAAATGAAGAGTAGCTCGAACAAGTCACCTTTCACACACAACAACAATGATCACTTCTGAGTATCTGCAAGATGTTCATGGTGGACAACATGAAACAAAATAGTGAGAAACAACATTCAATATAAATAGTGTAAATAATGCTAAGATAGAGAATATACAACATAACACACATTCAATACACAATCAACAACAACATAGTCTCACATCCACTTATAAAAACATGCATACCGGCGAAAAAACAGAAGAGTCGTCATTGAACGTTATTTATCTTGACAGGGGAAAGGAAACGATCGAAGAAACTTCAAAAGGGAGAAGACATGGTCTCGCAACCAACTCTTGGGTTTGAGAGTCGATTACGCGAGAAAAAGGTATTAGGATCCCCTCGTTTCCGTTGTACTCAATGAGATCCACACTTGTTATTCTAATCAAAGGGTGTGTATCTAAAGCCTGTCTGCTAACAGAAACGGAAAGAAAAACAAAAATGAAATTCGATAGAACTTCGTCATCTTGTGCCTACGTATTCCCTCGTACAATGGAAAAGTCAGAGTCAACGTAGTTTGGAGGACTACGGGTAGATGAGAGATGGTTTCTCGCCAAGACTTCGTCGTCTTGTGCCTATGTATCATCATCTGGACAAGAATGAGGGAATCAGAGCGTCTGTAGTTCGGTCTACGGTTGGTAAAGGTCTCAATCGCACTGGGGCGAGAGAAAAGGCTGGGTTAATTGGTCTCAATCGCACGGGGGCGAGAGAAAATGAGAGTTAGTTGTTAGTGAGCTCTTCAAGGATAGGGATCCTCATGCCTACGTATCCTCATTTGGGAATGAGGAATTAGAGCATCCATAGTTCATGAGACTACGGTTGGAAGAATCTCGACCGCACTAGGGCGAGAGAAAAGGTTCTGGATTTGTTGAAGTGCTATCTAAATAAGTGAATCGAATTCGTTTGAGATGTGCATAACACTAAAGTCTATGACATAGGATCGAATGCTTCGTAAGATCGACCCAAGACGGGACGTATACAAAGCACTCTAGACAAGGTAAGGAGAGACTCATGTTTATCACTTCCCATATACTTAAGGCTCGTGACGTACCATACTCATCGTATTTATTACGTGTTTTAAATGTGATTTGAGAGGAGAGAGGTAGAGACACACGAAAGGTCTAAGAAAGACTTGGCCCTATATGTTGTAATGTAAATGCCCTATAGTTGAGGTTCAAAGGGACTACCCTAATATTGTCATGCAAAGGATTGAGAGCCTAATGTCTATCCTACTCTAAACTTAATCAGAAATTAAGTTGGACCAGAAGCCTTAAGTGAGCATGTGAACAGAGCACAAGTAAACACACGACAACTTAATCACAAAGAGAAGACTTAACCTAGAAAAGACTTAACCTAATGGAACAAACAAACTCATACTTCCTTGCACACTCTTCACTATCAGTGGCGGGAAGCACTTTTTTCAATACGTTCATTCTTCTATGCTCTCTCACTCCCTCAGACGCAAAAAGCTCTTCTTCTCAACATGTTCCGCACTCACCTCACTCTCCTCGTCTTTTCATCGCTAGAACCCTCCAACTCTTCCCTTATTCCTTCGCTTAATCATCACGACGACTACAACATTCTCCGTCGTGTCGTGGCCTCGCGCCAGCGGCGGCAGAAAGATCCTTCCTACATTGCACTCACTCTCTAACTCAACAAACAATATTCACACAATAATGATGAAAGAATAAATGCTTACGTATCGTGGTCGCTTCGATAGCGCTTCAAACACGACGATGATGGAACAAAACCATCGAATATGATTCCGATATGATTCTTTAACTCATTCTTCCTTTTGAATATGTTATGCTCTGCAGTGGTTAGTCATGTCGCGTATTACTCTTCTTCTTCTTGCTTATTCTTCTTCGATTTGAAGTCGTTGTTGTGATGCTTCTTACTATTGCGTCATGAACCGTTGTGTTGTTGTTAAATTGTTGCGACGTTTAGGTTCTTGATGGAGGTTTGTTGCAGTTATGAAGATGAACTCCAAAAGAGTTTTTATGGTGTGAAGGTGAAGATGAATTCAAGATTGAATCGAGAGTGAAGGAGAAGTTTAAATACGAAGCAAAAAGTGAAAAAAAGAGCCAAAAAAGTGAGAGTGAAGAGAATGGTTTTATAGAGTGCTTGGAAGAATCGAGAGGGAAAATCTGTTACAAGTTTGTTAGAGATTGAATTGAGGCTGATGATTTTGTGATTGAATTCTGTTATGGTTTTGTTTGAAAGTGAAAACAAATTATGTTATCAATTTTGCAAGTGAAATCTGTTATAGGCAACTGTAATTTCCTTACGTTGTTGTACCTTTTTGTTCAATGCTATGTATCAATCTTCCTCCCGCTGTGCTTTCGTTTTTCACTGCTATTAACGTTCTGTGTCATGCTATGAATTTATTCCCTCTTTAGTTATCAACTTCTTGCTAAAATTGAACGATTGTTGTATTTTTCTGTGATGTGCTTTTCTTGCAGTGAATTTCGGTACGAAAATTAGTATCAATTATGCCACTATATATTTATGTTTCACTGTTATGAGTTCTTATGCTATGATACTTTGTACTTTTTTTTGTTATGAAGGAAAATCTGCCATGTTATCACCTGTTCAAAAATGTTTTCCAAAAAGAACATGGAGTGGCCGGCTTTCTTTCCAAAACCTTGATTTTGAACATCACTGATATACGAGCACAACTTAGCTTCATTTTTCCACAAAACTCTATAATTTCCCTAACCAGGAAGGGTAACAAAGGCCCCGAAAGTGAAGTTTTCTCAATAAGCTTAGTAGACAATATACGACTTTCATTATCCACATTTCCTAGAGACATATCATCATTAATTGTTTCACTTGTCAAGGATGCATCACTGCCTATAATAGCATTTGCTCTGGCTTGAGAAAATGAGAGCGCTTTCACGTAAAACCATCTAAAGATTGGTTTAGTAATTTTAAGACTGATGTTTCCACAATTTAGACATTTCTTATAATCCTTTTGTATAAATGTTCTTAGAACAGTCATTGCCTTGGAAAATTGAATTGTCCAATTTTCTACCGGTTGCTCAGGTCTACTACATTGGTCTTTATCATCAACATCAGAATCGCCTAGATAAGGAAGCCAAGGAATAAGTTCACATGCAACCATTGCTGCACGGGAGTTTAACATTACACTGGGAGAATTATTATCTCCATCCTCTACAAAACATTCAATGCCACCCATGGTTGCAAGAAGTGAGTCTACAATTAAGAAAGACACGTTTTCCATTTGCTCACCACTCCCCAAAATTTCTACACCACTTGCAATATTCTTCAGTTTCTCCATACCTTCAGGTTTTCCCATGATTGCAGAATCAACCAAATGCAGTAATTCTGCTGACGTATTTGGCATAACATTTTTTTCTAAGGTTTTTTTGGAGAACCAACATGAGAAAAACCAGGTTGACCAAAACCAGTTGATGAAGCAATGAAGCATACTGCTTGTTTGTATGACCAAAATGTTTCCCTGGCCTAGGGCTATAAGAAATATGATCACATTGCATTGTGGCAACTGGTTAAGTATTACCCTTTGATGAGTACATCCTAGATGAATGTTGTTCCTCTGCATTTCCACCAATAGGATGTTGTACATTATCTAAACCAACAGAATGGTTTGACTCCTTGTACTCACTGTTCTTCTCTTGATCTTAATCTTTCAAGGATACTTGCTCATACTGGTCGTTTGTAACTGTATTTGCATAATGAATCTCATGTTCTTGTAAGCTTACCCTTTCATCTTTGAAATTATGGCAAGCACACGATGGATGTTATTGTAGATGTTATGACATCCACTGTAACATGTACTACTGCACTTAATAATAAGTTGTAAATGGAAAGCAGTAAATAACACAAATAATTGTTCACCCAATTCAGTGTCAACCATACTTACATCTGGGGGCTACCAAGCCAGGGAGGAAATTCACTATCAGTAGAATTAATTCAGAGTCAAACAATCTCAGTTTGC